CAAAAAAATTTCCTACTAATTAAAGTGATTAGTTAACCGTTTTAAAAACAAATCCTGTGTATCAAAATCAAACCGTACAACCTTACTTGTATTAGCACTGTTACATTTTTGTTGACTGAAAGCTTAACTAACTACTTACATTAATCCCACAACTGTAAGCATATTATTTTCATGTTTAGTTTCCTTCAGTTGCTCATCCCTTACCTTAATCATTTTACAATGATTTGGAAACGTAATACTTAGTTAATATGGCTTACCTTTTAACCGTTCATTACTTTGTTAGATTTTTCAGTTGGATGTATAGTACATTTACGACAATAGGTGAAATATTTATACTGAATATGTCAATAGTAATCTAGTGTGGGTCTTTCTTTCTCCCTTTTGTTTCAGCCCTAAACTATTTTATTGCAGTCACTAAACTTACTCCATATACACTGATTAAAAGTTAGTTTTGATTTAAAATTAAGAAAAAAAGAGTTTCTCATTCGATTTTACTATTTTCTTATTTGTTCGTTTTCGTTTTTCCAATCTAATCTCCTCCCTCTCTTAAAAACACACATTCATTTGTTTATTATTTCTATTGTTGTGTTTGCCAGTTAGTAATATGAATTCCCAATGTTTAATCTAATGAATCTTTTATGCCAGCAGGAGGATTGATAAAAATATACCCGAGACGTCAATCAACAAGGGAAATAAATTTCCTGTCTATTTCTCTGAACGATTACATGGAAAATATACATACTAATCACTAAATATTATGATTACATGTTTTAGAATCAGCTTAGTAACAAATCACGTGTTGATTGTAATGATGATCATTGTGGTAAATATACATTTAAACACAAAGTAGGACAACTAGTGTTTAAAATTTCCTAAGTAGTAACCCGCGTGGGGGAAATGAACATTGTAACACTGTTGTTTAAAGTAATCATAAGACATTACATTTTATCAAATAGATTTTAGGAATTATAGGGCGAAATATGTATGGATAGGAATACTTTATTCCCCCATACATATGAGCATCTTATGATTTATCATTTGATGGTACTCAATTAGAGTTTAGTTAATATTCCGAAGGTTAAATGATATTACCGACATAAGTTACCTTTTACTAATACACTTTTGTTTACTTTACACTGAAATAGATGTTTATTATAAAGAAGTATAAATTGAATTGCCATAATAATGCACTTCATGTATTCCAACAGGAAGCAACCTATACTTCGTAAGCGATAAAACTATTTTGGTGGAGTTTTATTCTCTGGCTATGGTTTGAAATAGTCAAACAATAATAGGTTTTGAAAAGAGCAAGAACAAGCATTCCGCTACAATGTTTGTTCTTGCTCTTTTCAAAATAGTTAAGTGAACTATGTGTATGAAATAATAAGTCTGCTTAATCTTTTTCATGAAAGTGTCTCCTTAATTTAAAACATGTTTTTAAACTACACAGAAAACCCTCAGTTAATTAAGATAGTATGCAAAACATTATGGATTCATGGTTCTTCTTCCTTCAGATCCCATGCCCGATATATTAGTTGTCTTATGTAATATTCAGAATTTCAATTACAAATTACATCTTTACAAATTCTAAGTTCTCCTGATTCATAAGTTTGTCCTAATGCACTACACACAACTACTCATCCTGTTTATATTACACCTCACCAATTTCAAGTTATGATTGGTCTCTAGTGAATAGAACGAATATCTGTTTCCCAGTAGAATATTTATAATTACTACTTTTCTGGTTGTATGTATCGATCTCAACTACTTGCGCTATTTATCATGATTACATTACAGCTACTGATATTAAAGTATCACTGGGTGAGTGGCATAAACTGTTCTGAATGCTGTCTAACAAAGGAGTACACATAGGTATAATATACATAAAGGTAACTGTTTTTAAATTTACATGATAAAGTTTGTTAGTGACATAGCTAGTTTTATTTCCGGATGATCACAGAAAGCCCCACTTTAAAAACATCTTACTGACATTCAAACTGATCGAAACAATATACCGGCTTAATCCACAATGAATTTTACCAAAAGCAAATTATATTTTATTCAACGCCAAAAAAAAGTTTCTTGACAGTCCATCAATTCCAAAGAAAAATATGTCAACATACTGTACCATTGTACGTCAGTCTGATATATTTAATTCTTCAATTTAACAATAACATATGGACCTGCTACTCTTCTAGGGTTTCTGCCGGTCCAAAGCCCGGGTAAAAAAGCGGGTTGGGTATTGGGTCGGAAACCCCATCCCGTAGAAAGCAACCTTGCTAAAATAACGCCAACCAGAACAAACATTTTAAAACAAGTGAGCAGACTATAATACTCCACGAGGGGTAACAGGCGTAAGCCAGTAAGCTTATGGAACTCATTCTAAATCATCTTTTTATATGAATTACTTCACCTGTAAATTTTCTAGACTCTGGAATAACCTACCACAATTTATCCGCACGACAAAATCACTCCCATTATTTGTTCGCTGCATACTGCTCCTCTGAAAATGAATTGAATGGTCTAGCGCCTTTAAATGTATCTCATTCCACAAGTGATATTTTAGGAACCTTAAATGTTTAGCCATCTTTATTAGTGAATTCCCTAAGTAAAACCACCCACTTGCTGTCAATATGTTAACACCGCCCCTAGCAAGTTTAACTAATTCGAATAACATAAACAGTATATCACTGTGTTACATGACACACGCATTTAGGTAGACCTTATTGGCATATTTTGGTAATTACTGCTTTGTTTTTCCGTGCTCTGTGTTTTCGTTTTAATTTCTCTAGTTGTAGATAATTATCATTATTTCGATCTGGCACACGAATTGACCTTAAGATATGGATCTGATATCTGGTTAAATAATGTCAGAGGACATTTCTAGTGAATTCGTTAGGAATATTTATCATTCAGTAAAGAATAACCATGTTCAACGCTCATTAGTGATTTTCAGTCTAGGGTGTAAATGATATTTTAGTATGAAGGGTAAACAATTTTAGATTGATTCGGTTGATGTATAACATTAAATGTTTACTTTATAGTACATTTGACGTCGTTTACAATAAAGAAGCTGAGATGGTAAAAGCAGAAAACTCAATTGTTCTTGGAAATTTTTATTAAAATAATAACAACCTAACTATTTAAAATCCCTTGACCATGAATATTAGAGGTTTGAATGATGGACGATATAGTTTTTATATATATATATATATATATATATATATATAACAAATTGTGAGTAAACCCAGGTAGATCAGAGTAACGTCCTTTCCTTCGGTCATGTTGACAGTAATTTTGTGTTATTAGGATTTTGTAAACTATACTATCTTTTAAGTTACATCCATTAAGGTAACGCTGCATTTATCCAATTTATTTCCATATCTCAACACAATTAATAGTATGTACTCAATACTCACCTACTTTTAAGCAGTTACATCTTAACTATATCTACGAATAACGTTTACTATAAAATTTGTTTTGTACCTTCCAACCTTATTTACCTCTACCTTAGTGTTTTGTAGTCACTATACTTATTAACGTTCAGCAGTTGATTTTGCTTTCAATAATTTTAGAAGTCAAATGTTAGTTAATCACACAGCATCAATAATACAACATGCTTATTCACCAGGTACTTGGGTATGTACTACACCCTAAATATGACGGGTAATGACACTAGCCTGTTTCCTAAATCGAAGTAGGTGTATTTGAGCTCAAACCTGGAACTTAGTGGTGGATGTCGGACGTCTTAGCCGCTGACCCTACATCCCAATGAACTACTGATCCCAAGTATTTTTATTATCACCAATTCGTTATCGTACTTGTAATGGTATTTCAGTCAGTCAGTCAGCTACAACGTAGGACCAGGCACATATGTGCATCGGTCCAGGTTGCCATACCGCATCAGCACAACAAGATGAACACCGGATTCATAGCAGTGGTTAGGTCAAAGGTGGTAATAAATAAGAGGAAGATTGCATATAGAGATATAGTACAAGACGAAAGAATTGGTTCGTAAAAAGAAAGATATGAAGTGATTTTAATCTCTTAGTTTAAGGGAAGACAGGGAGTGTATACACCGACGCCATTGTGATCGATTCTGAGCCATGTCACCAAGAGTCTCCAACCATTGGTTACGAAAGTCACGCGGACCCCAACCAAGTAGTCTGCATCTACCAACATGGCCCAGACTAGAAGTTAGTGACTTCAAGCACTGATGCCACGTTTTGGTTTGGCCGCCCCTAACTTTCTTCCAACCATCTCCAATACCGGATAGCATTGCACGTCGTGGTAATCGGTGTTCAGGCATACGTAATACGTGGCCCAACCATCTCAGTCGATGAAGATTCACAACCTCATCAACTGATTAACCATCATTCCCTAATACCCTGCGTCGAACCTCACTATTACTTATCCGGTGATCCCAGCAGACGCCAGCAATATTTCTAAGGCATGTGTGGTCAAATACTAATAGCTTACTAGTGTCTTCTACTCTTAAAGGCCATGGTTCGCTGCCGTAAAGTAAAACAGAACGGACTGCCGCGCAATATACTCGTCCTTTTATTGATATTGGTATTTATTCTGAGACTACTGTTCAGTGTCGATAGTTTATATTACTTAACGAAGCTGTTCAAGTTTTTGAAGCCGTAGCAGCTCAAATGGCTCAGTGATAGCATCTCATTGTGAAGCTAGGTGAGGCGGGTTCTAATACCCCAGAAAGCATCGGTTCTCACAAGATTGCAGGTATACCTTGTTAACGAGCATAGAATATTACGAAACCTAGGTTCAAGGTTTCTTGTGGACGACCTACTTCAACTATTTATCATTATTTTCTTACTAATTGCTAGCGAGCGTTTAATACAATATTATGATATTCTACGGGTTCTAGTGCGTATCCTAAATTTCTTATCCACTTACTTCGAAGGAGGTACGTTCTATTTGGCTGCAGTTTGATAGTGTGACAGACGTTTGGACACATCACGATTCGAATTTCATAAACCCTGACTGATCATGTTATTTTCATTACTGGCTTTGTATCCAAGAAAAGAAATTGGATTAGAGTCGTCAAACGGGTTCAGAAATTATAAAAGACAATTATTCAAATAATGTACATGTATGATAATTTGCAGAAAGTTATCACTTAACGCACCCACAAAGTGCGATTCAACCGATCATCAGACGTTTTCGACCACGAAGTCGAACGTCCTCCAATTTGTTTAAAATTTCTTTGACTTCGTGATCTTGTTTTTCCAAATGACCACCTGATTTTGCATTATCATGTTTAGACTTTATCTGTTGATCATCCAGTATTGTCGATACATAATTATCCCGGTACGACTTTATAATTAAATTCAGAAGCGATTCTGGAGTATTTAAATCGGCGTGGTCAGTGGTAATTTTTGACAGGGCTTTGTGATCAAGGCCACAGGTTAAGGCCCGTTCAAACACATATAGATCTACAGCTTTATCTTCTGCTAAACGTTGTGAGGTTAATCCAGAAGAAGAGCTTGAAAGTCCAAAATCTATAGGAACGATTCGAAAATCGGATTCTTTGTTACAATTACCTACCTGAAATTATGGAGAAGTGTTGAATTAGGGAGGTTAGTATTAAAAACAGTGTGATTTAACATCTTCATTGCTCAAGTGATGATACAGAGCAAGGAATGAATCAAATAACAATAATTTTCTAAATTTATACCCTACGACTCCATGATGTAATAATTTACTGATAGTGTTACACTTGGTAAGCATTTAGCTACCACTATATCAAAATCGAATTTCATAAGTAAATCAGAATGTTGAAACTGAACTAGTGATATACCTCTTACCGGTGTCATCAGTTTCTTCTTTTTCAAGCTCGTTTAAAGGTAGAAAGCGATCGTAAGTATAGGATTTTACTTCTGGAATTTGTTTCAATTGCGTTAACATGTTCAAAGCATGAAGATTAGACATAGCTGGATTTTTGACACCCGTAATTTCTGTATCCTTAGTTTCAGAGCAGTCGATCAAAAATCATTCTGTGACAATCATCAACAACTATTATTTATTTTTATATTTAAACATTGTTATGACTGGTCGTCGCTAATTGTTACGTCGAAATCACTTTATACTTATACTTTTAAAACAAAGAACCACTGCAATTCCGCCGACGCAAAGTAAGAGTGCTAAGACTGTTACAAGCAAAGATTTGTTAACCACAAAACACAACGACCCTAGTCGAATACACTCATTTGTATGTTAATTGTACACTAAGTTTGACCATGAATTATGATGAAATCACACATAAATGTTTATACAAAGGGATTTCGAAATAGATATGCACCAAACAAAGTAGTTATCATTAAATGTTTATGTTGGCTAGGATACTTCCCAGGTGCCCAAACATAGACAAATGGTTTTCTTAAGGGGCCAATCCCCGAGCCTTTGACACAGAGGTCTAATCCACAAGGCAGTGAAGCGACGTTAGGAGATGCAGTCCAATAGTAACCGGTGACCAACAATAGGTTCATATCACAATTGTCCCCTCAGAGTCCTTAACCCCATGTGCACCACTGGTTCAGAATCAGGTTTTCCCAACTCCTCTAAGTTGGTCTTCCGTACCCATTAATTTGGTTAAAGCGCCCCTGTCACGAGAAGGCAGTCAGTAGAACCTCTATGCGAGTGGCTATATATGCGTGGTCATATGAAAGTTTTGAGGAGAGCGAATCCTCCCAACGCTCGGGCATACCAGGGCATTTAGAGGCATCATCTACACCACCACTACCAGGACAAAAGATGAAACGTCGCGAACTGCGACCTACTTTCTGACAAACAAAACACCATTTTCAATGAGATACAAAACTTATGTTATGAGTATTTGTAAGTAAAATATTACTAATTTGTTATCCTAAGTGATGAAGTGTCTGTGAACACACCAGTAATCTATCCATAAAATACCTGATTTTGTTTTTTAACCAGTGCATGAATGTAATCAGTGTACAGAATTACATATGATCCGAAATATATACAACACTTGATTTTTAGTAATGCAGTTACTCCAGCAAATGACAAATCATAATTGAACTAAAAGAACAATATTATAAAAGCTTGCAAAAAATACCTGTTGAACCAGAATATTGGACATAGTCAAATCACCATGTATTATATGGTTAGAATGTAGCTGAGCAAGTAGTCGACCTAATGCCGTTGTTAAATTTCGCAATCGTGAAGCTGTTTTCTCCTGGATATCCATGGCACATAAATCTGATGCAGTTGCTAGAGAAGATAAGTTTTTAAACCAGTCTTGAAGTGTGACAGCATCTGGACCAACTTCACCGAGCCAAATCCGACGTCGTCGAACATCAACTAGAAGGACTGGAGGGACATCTATTCCTACTTCTCTACAACGCAACATCTGTCTGACTTCAGCTCGCATTCGCTGCATTGACAAAGTGGCATCCAATGTACTATGACGATACCGTTTGACAAATCTTTCTTTAACAATACATGGAAAAGTATATGTTGAATGGAACAACTTAGTGCGATAGATTCGTGCTTCTGCTCCTTGCCTGACTAAAGTCTCAAGTGACAAGGCATTTAGAACTGAGTCAGATAGTAGATCTGGAAACAAATCTGGATTAGACATGTAATATTCTGCAAGAAAAATAAAAAAAGGATGAACTACGCACAGTTGCATCTCGGGAAGCTTTCTTTTATTTGATTTCAATTTCTCTAATCTAATGGCAGCTTTCACCTGAAAATTTATCGATTCACGTATATTTATACGTACTTTCTTGAACCGATGTCCTGACGCACTTGGTTTAAGAAATGACTGTTTATTTGCAAAGATAAATATCATGATGCACAGAAAAAAGGTAATCCTTAAGGTTAATAGATTTTCATTTTTATACTTCATGAGAATGTTCATTATACTGGCAAAAACATGAAATCACTTTTGAACTTAACTAAACGGGACTCTGCCGTAACGCACGAGAGAAAGCTTCATACGACGCGATAATCACTCTCCAACTATTGTACCAGTTATTCCTTCTGAAGTTAAATAACCATTAACATTGTGAAATACTGGATACACAAGCTAAATTACGTACTGAAAGATCATTCTAAGTGAAATTTCCTAAAGTTAATCGGATCTACGTTACGTATTAAAGCTTATTTTAATATAAGAATAGTTTCTGCTTATAACTATGCTTTTATGAGTTAGCTCAACCCTATGGAGTCAGTAAAAGTAATGTGGTCACAACAGCGACTAACATGATATCCGAGGAATTGACCCAAGACACAGATAATGCAAATAAAAATCATTTATCAGAACCATGTTATATATTAGTCCAATACACTCAAAACCAGCAAATATCTAATCAAATTGTTCGAAGTGTATTACACACATATATTACATAGTTCCGATGAACTTTATCTTCTCATTTTATCGCCTAAATTTATCAAAGGGACTGTTTCAAAATTTAGAAAAGATAGCCGAAAACTCTTAAGATGTCACGTAAAACAGAAAGTTTTGAATTGACTGTTATTGTTTGCTTATTGTTAATCACTAGATAGCATACTTGTTACTCAATGGTACCTGCAAAATATCACAAAAAGAATTATTGATGTCAGTAGTCATGGAATAAAAATTTTACATTTGTCGTAAATCAGTCCGATTGGAAAAGTCCATCATCAATTTGTTGTCTTTAACGCGACATTAGTATCCGTTATTCATCTCATATTAGTTAGCAGGGTAATTCTCAAGTGATTTATATATATATATATATATATATATATATATATATATTACTTTCACGAAAGCCGAGATCACCGTAAAAACTAATTGAATAGTTAACAAATTAAAAAGATATTAAAATTAGTTTACAAAAAAGTATTCAACGGTATAATTGAATATTGTTAACTGAAGCAACATAGATCAATCCACATCACAAAAGGAAATCCATGGTGAATGTAATAAATAACATATTTTTGTTAGCAGATATATATTTTATCTAATATAAAGACAATACAAATGTGAAAAGTTAAATGAATAAAGCATATAGAACGTAAATAATCATTGATAATATGAATATTCAGAAGATTAATATATTTCGAGGAAAATGCTTGTGTTGAAAGACATTACCAATCGAGAGCCTTTAGAAATTCATCTTCTGTGATTTGTAAGCACTTAGAGGCTTCGATTAGCATCTGGAAAAAGAAGCACACAACAATAATGTGGACAATATAAATATGAAAGGAAAAGAATCTAATTGGCTTCAATAACACACTACAAATATTCATTTGAACAGAAAGAATTTCATGCACTAAACGACTGACATCTAAATATTTTTAGGCTATTAGAGTATAAAATAAAGAAGCCTTGCTTATTGTACAAAAAACCATCATGAATATGCAGTTTATTCAGGTAAGGTTATCTAACCACAAGCTCAATAAAATGGACAGGTTATTGTATTACTTTTGATAACAAAGGTAAATTATCATTGCATTTCAAACTCAAAATAATGGGAAAAATGAGAGAAAATTTAAGTAAATTAGATTAGATTTGAAAAAAATTGTTCTAGAGTTCATTAAGTTTATCATCAGTTAAAACTGAGCATTAAACTCCGTAGGCTTGTGCACCATGTGATGCAAATGTATTATAACCCTTATCATTTACCCATCACTTTAAATTTGCATAAAGCCGATAACGAACCACAGCTGGATGTGCTACTTGTTGGTTGCACGAATACACAAATGACAACTTAAAGCATTGATAAATAGAGGATGATATAACACTGTGGCATACCACAATGCTTGGTAAAGCATAAGAAACTAGGTAGGAGATAAAAAAAAGAACTGACAGCAGTAAAAGATAGGAGGAAGGGGAAATTTAAACATAACAAAATATGTTCACGAAGTAAGTGTTTTTATCTATTCAAATAAATAATTATACTCTTACTTTTTGTCTGCGCAATATATCGATCAATTTCATTTGCTTTTTAAATGTTGAAATTAACTCGGATTTTTGCTTTTCTAACCGCTTATTTTCAGCCATTAAATCATCCATATTATGACGCATAGATCCAACGCTCTCACGTGTAGATGAACGGACCTTCTCTAATTCAGCTTTATAACGGTCAGATTCTTCAATTGCACGATTAAGACGTGTAGTCAAAGATTTGATTTCGAGAACTTGCTGATCAGAATTACGTTTAAGTGAATCATAATCCTGTTTAAGATAAACGAAATTCAGTTGGTTTTAGTATGATGAAATAGAGGTCCAACAGGTATGTGAATGAGTACATAACAATTAAACTTCTACCTGAAATCCGTACTTATGATATCGTTCAGAAGAACGATGAAAGCTCCACGACCAAACCATCCAGCTCAGAGAACAAAACTCCATCAAAAAGAGGTATATAGTTTTGAAGTAGTCGGGAATAAAACTTAAATAATACGTTCGAAACATTAATAGAGCTGTTTAGAGTTCATGTTTGTCGTTAGGTTCATGTTAAATATTATATTTTTATTATTACTAACAGTAGTACAAATAAGGGAATTTTGTGTGTTTATATCATTATTTTTAGTTTAGATTACCTAGTGTCCGAAACCTCATAGCTAGTCACACAAACACAAACCTATTAAAAAGAAAGACTCAAGCGGAAGTTAGAAGAAAATTACAGACAATGGGGATACCACAGAACGCTGGTTACAAATAACTCCATGAATACATAAACCCAAAAAGTTATTCCCATCAAAATTCACAAATGCACACAACGTACTCATGAGTAGCTAAATACATCTGAATGAAAATTCAAAAAGACATACAAGGCTAGGTAGAATGTTTTACAAAATGAATCGATTTTGAAACCACAGAAGACGCACCTTGATCTCGTTATGCTAGCCTACGTTATGTTTGTATGTTGTTCCGGAAGAATTTTTAATCACTGCTTCAGAACATCTAATAGTACAAGAACTATTTCACTAATTAAACAAGACGTACTTTCTTCCGAAAATACACGGACCAATGAATAGATGAATAACTGAGAAAATGTTGACCTGAAAATTTTAGGCATTATCATCGCGAACCAGCACATTTTGTTTCAGTTCAAATTAGTAGCTAAGTATCAGCTTTTGAAGTTGATTTTGTGTAGGCGTCAGTGATACTTTGTAGATGCCTACATTGAAAGTAGGACGAAGTTTAAACTGCCCATACAGTGGTAACAAATTAAGCGTTTAAGCGATAAAGCTGTCACTTGATATATCTACTCTAAAATTTGCCTTTTATTAGAACTCTATACAAATGATATCACATAATGATGTAAAATGTATTTTAATTGATTAGTCTGCATAAGATCATAGGAAACAAAAACGAAGCAAAGCACAACTATGAAACATTAACTGGATAATAATATACCTTCTTGTAATTAGTCTTTTCTGTCTCTAGTTCATTACAGTGAACGCGTGTTTCGCCCAAGCTTTTTTTCATTTTCTCTAACTGAGATGAATGTGCAGATGTGACTCGATGTAACCGATTACGTTCTTCTTCCAGTTCTTGCATACGACTTTTCATTCGAAAAATTTCATCATTCTGAAATGAAGATAGACATTTGCCCGAGAATAAAACAAAAATTAACGTAGAACAAAAGATGATAAAATTATAGAGACGAGACAAACAGAATCAAGAAGGTGACATTTAAGCTTTTGTGGCGAATTTAAATATCACGTATAACGAACAGTAGAAATATCTACATATTGTGCTCAGAACGTTTAATATAATAATTCAGTTTTTGTGATTATGGAGTAAGAATAATATTGCTAAACTTACCAAACTCACAGTTCTTTCTCAGTAGACTGAAAGTAACAAACAACTCGACACTATACCTAAGCTCTCAACACTTTATCCTTAAAACAAATATTAATTTACTGACATTATATTTTATGGACAAACCAATCAGATAGCAGTTATTAGATTTTTGTGAGAAATTCATTCATATCCAAATGCCTAAAAATCAGTTCTGTTTTATGGTTGATAGAAGGCCGTACTGAAAACATCTCGATCCTCACCATAAATATACAACCCTGACCAAGAAAAATGTGGGGGACTCTTAAGAATCTATTTCAGTCCCTATAAGGGATTGAAGAGACGGATAATCGGAATCCACAAGGACGACTTTATATGTTTTTTTATTACCAGGTAGATTAACCTGTAGAAGACTTCTACAAATTCAATAAATATGTACAATCTGCTTACATTTTGTAGTATTATTGTCTTCGTTTTCATAAACTACGCACTTACAAAAGCGGTTTTCTGATAGACTAAGAACTGGTTGGAAACACGTTGCGGTTTTTTAGGTCATCTCTATACCATAATCACCCGAAATATTTGCTAAATACACTCTAGTCATACCAAATAATGATTTTTTGAAGACAGTGAGGTATAGGAAATGACACTGAATATACACAAGAAGTAAAATAATCCGAGAAAATGCTATGATACATGGTAATGAACGAACTAATATTAACAGTGATCACTAAGGTACCAAACAGATTGGTGACGTAGATAGTTGGTAACCGTATTGCTTATTTTACACGTTTGCTAGCAGTGCTATTTCTAACAGGATATAAAATTATTCAGTTAATTATAACGAATGTATAACTTGGCAAAGATGTACACCGGTACAAGTTACCACAACAAATCAGAACAGCGAGAGGAATTTGAAAGTAATAGAAAGAATTCAAAAAAACAGTATGACCAACAATAACAAGAGATCACACAGTTTGAAAAGAAAGATTGAGCTTGTGGAGTACAAAGTATGAAATAATGTTGGAAATCAAAATCCAAGGGAAGACAAAGAATGGATGCATGTGCCGCACTGGAACCAATATTAGACGTATCACCTAAGACCTACAATCACCGAAAACGAAGTAAACCATAGGTTAACAACAGTTACGTCTATCCCTCATGTTTTGATATTTGGGCTTACATTAGAGGTAACAGTGCTTGCAAATAGAAGTATTGTACAGCAGTTACCAAGATCTGTTTAGGATAATCAGAATTCGTCAACCACCAACTCATCAGAGCCGGTGATGCTTTTAAAATAAGTGAGGTGGTCAACGCATCCAACTACTTTATCGAATATGATTATTTTCGAACGACCAATGGAGCCATTGGAGAATGGTTGATCGTATGAATAGTAAGTAATGTTAGGAAGTGAAAAAGAAAGCTGATTGCGATGAATCAGAGTGCTGTTACAGGTATTATAGTTGGGATGAGCGATTTAGGTAGATGCAGACTACTTGGTTAGGGTCGGCGCAGCTATCGTAACCGGTGTTTGGAGACGTTGG